CCCGAGGCGGGGCTTGGGCCCCCTCCCCCCAGGTCTGGGTCAGCGCCCCTTCCCCTCCCCCCGGGCCGACGCGGAAACGCCCGGCTTCCCGGCCGGGCCGGGGCCCCCTGGTCTCCCCCTGGCTGGGTCCTCCTTGGGCGGGGCAGGGCCGGCCGGGGAGGGGGCGCGGGGCCTTTGTTAGGGAGCCAGGCCCCAGCCCCCGGGACAATAGAGGCACCCTCCTGGACTCTTCTCCCCACCGGCCGGGGCTCTGGGCAGGCGGCGACCGAGAGGGGCCGGGACCCGACCCACTCTGCCTACTCTCTGGGGGGTCGGTCTGTCCCGGCTCGCTGCCGGCCTCGGGTGGCTCGGTTCTCCTCCCCCCAGTCGGTATGATGCAGCAGCAGTGCCGCAGGGACGGGAGAGGAGCCGGGGCACGGCCTGCTACCCTTCCCAGTGCCCCTGGCTCATTTGTCAGTCCCCACCCCAGTCGAGGCCGGCAGCTCCTTAAACTCGTACCCACCGTTCAGTGGGGCCCCGGACTGTGGGCGCTGTTACTGAATCCTATCGTGGGGATTTCTGGACTTTGGGGCTCTTGGAGAGACTTCCGGGCTGGTCCTGAGGGAGGGAGGGTGCGATCTAAAAGAACAGGTAAGGGGAGTGCCCACTCGTGTGCGTTCCACAGGGCTCTCCCCTGCGCGTGTTCGTGGTGGCTGGAAATGCCCCTTTGCCTGTAGGCTTCTGTGGGCTCTGTTCCTCTCGTGGAGTGGCAGGCTTATTTCAAGAGAAGAGAGAGTGGGGTGAAGGTTGTAGGGTCCTAGGGCCATTCCTACTTCTGGTAGCAGTACCCCCCCAAGTGGACATCCTGGCTGAAAGCAGAGGTGACTCCGAGGAGAGCCCTTGGGGGGGGGGCTTGAGGAGTCTGTGCAGTTCTTTGCCACACCCTGTGGGTTTGCTTTGAGGCCTTAGAGTTCCTTCTCCTCCCCCTGCTGCATTGCACCATGGGTATCAAAGAGGGGTTTGAGTTTTGGGTACCTAGATTGAGCTGCTGCCTCCTATAGATCCAGACTCTGATTGGCAGTAGAGTCCAGGGCCTGAGCTCAGGCCTGGGAAGGATTAGTCTACTCCTGGGTTTCAGGCCCTGAAAGACCAACCAGACTTGGAGATCCTGAGCTTTGGGGAAGGAGACACTCTGATGCCAGGATTAAGCCCTGGGCTCTGAGATGGGGAGGGGAGGTGGCAGTCTTCAGAGGTGTCTTGGACTCACACCAACACCCCCACCTCCATGTGTAGCCGTGTTGCCGCCCGCTGTGCTATGAGCAGTCAGAGCGCCGTCTCCACAAGAGTTTACAAATGAAAATGGAGGAAATGTCTTTGTCTGGCCTGGATAACAGCAAACTAGAGGTGAGGGCTCCCCCACGTGTGCCTCTAGTTCTTTTTCTTGGTGTCTCTGAGTCGATATATATGGCATCCACGCCAAAGAGGAATTTGGGTAGTCAGTCTTGTTCCTAAAAGGGAATAGTGATCCCCAAAGGCCCAAGGATCTGGGAAGAAGAAAACTCAAAAACCAAGGCAGGGAAAATGGCAAAGAAAGCAGAATGTTTCCCAGGGCTAGATTTGGTTGGTGAGAGGTGCTCAGTCTAGAGGGTACCATCCTCGTGACCTCGAATGTTGTCCCCTGTGGCCCAGGCCATCGCTCAGGAGATATACGCGGACCTGGTCGAAGATTCTTGTTTGGGATTCTGCTTTGAGGTACACCGGGCTGTCAAGTGTGGCTACTTCTTCCTGGACGATACGGACCCTGATAGCATGAAGGATTTTGGTGAGCTTCAATGTGGAAGGAGAGTGGTCTAGCCAGCCCAGGGAGGACTCGGGGGTCTTCTCTGGAAAATACCCTAGGTGTAGACTCTTGGAGCTCCTGTGAGCTTAGGCAGGGAGGAGTTTGAAGAGGCCTTGGGATGATGGGTGGGAACAAGAGGTGACAGTGCCCTGCCAGCCCTGATCGCCACGCCTCTCCTGTCCCCAGAGATCGTGGACCAGCCTGGGTTGGACATCTTTGGACAGGTTTTCAACCAGTGGAAGAGCAAGGAGTGCGTTTGCCCCAATTGCAGCCGCAGCATTGCCGCTTCCCGCTTTGCTCCCCATCTGGAAAAGTGCCTGGGAATGGGTCGGAACAGCAGCCGAATCGCCAACCGCCGGTGAGGGCCTCTTCGCTGCCAGCGCCAGAACTGCAAGTCTTGTGCAGTCTGTATGGTGGTGTAGTCCTGTGGGGGCACTTAGGGTGCAGAGGGTGGGTTGTACTTGGCCCCCAGATGCCTCAGTATGAAGAGATGGGTAGATGGGTGACAGTCTTGAACCTTTCTCTTCTCAACCCTGGGCAGGATTGCTAATAGCAACAATATGAACAAGTCTGAGAGTGACCAAGAGGACAATGATGACATCAATGACAACGACTGGTCTTATGGCTCAGAGAAGAAAGGTGTTTGGGGATCTGGGGAACCTTGGGAGACTCTCATTGGGGTGAAATGGGCAACACGAATGGGGTACATATTTGACACAAATTGTTTTCTTGATGGTAGGGGTCGAGTGTAAATTTTTTATGCTTTAACTGCTCTTAGATTGAGAACTTAAAGTAATCCTCTTTATTCTCTTGTCCTCCACAGCCAAGAAGAGGAAATCAGACAAGGTGAGGGCTGGGAAAAGCCTGGGGGAAGTCAGGGTGAAGGACAGATACCCTCCCCTTTGGGCAGGGAGTCCTCAGGTGTTTTGATTCAACCTCAGTCTGAGGTTACTGGGGGCCTCTCTGGGTTTGGGAGGTGAGGATGTCTGCTGGGCAGGGGAGCTTCAGAGGCCTTGGTGGGAGGGAGAGAACATAGGCAGGCAGGCTTTTACTGGGAGAAAGAGTACAAGTTTGAGGTTGTTTCTTTGTCAAATCTTTTTTCCTTCCTTGGGTTCTCGGCTCCCCCTTATCGTTGCCCTTTCCCCAAAGCTATGGTATCTCCCATTCCAGAACCCCAATTCCCCTCGAAGATCCAAGTCTTTAAAACACAAAAATGGTAAGTGGGGCTAGAGCAACAGGGGCGCTGCCAGCTGTGTCGTTTTGGGGCTCATAGTGGTGGTGGAGGGAGAGGCTGAGGGAGTAGGAGTGTGAGGGAGGGCCTGTGATCCTTCTGTCACCCCCACTTCCTCTCTGGTTATTTTCAGGGTTCTCTGTCTGTACCTCTGCATCAAACACCCTTCCCCTTCTTTTTTCTTCTTCAGGGGAACTTAGCAACTCGGATCCTTTTAAGGTGAGTAGTAAAATCTGCCCGGTGTATGTCTCTTCTCTTTGCTCTTGAAAGGTGACTGGGATTTGGGCTAGTGAGGTCAGAATGTTGACAGCGAGAAACACTAGTTGGGCTCTTTGAGTCTTAGGTGTTTCTGTTCTTTCTGGGTCCTCCCTTGTCTATATGCAGGTAGATTGGAAGGTCTCCTTTGGAAAACTTTTCATGGGGGCAGTGATGAGAGGGACTTGATTTTCCACTCCTACCCTCTTTTCTCTCTGCCCCTCTACTTCTCTGACCTGTACCTCTGGTTCTCACACAGTATAGCAACTCAACTGGGATCAGCTATGAAACTCTGGGGCCAGAGGAGCTGCGGAGCCTGCTCACCACGGTGAGGAACTGGGGAGGAAGGAGGTTTTGACTGGGCTGGGGCCGTGGGTAGAGGTCACGGTCCTGGACGAGGCTGGTGACACAGCAGTATGGGTCACAGAGTTCTCTTGGTGGAAGTAGATTTCCTGGCCCATCTGCTCTGAGTACTGGTTCCTGCTCGGGGGCTGTTTCTGCTTGCAGAGTCAAATATTGGTGCAGAGGGAGCATCTAGTGTTTAGAGTAGGTTTCCCCTCCGTCCCTCCTTTCAGCTTATATTCCTCTTCCAGCAATGTGGGGTGATTTCTGAACACACCAAGAAGATGTGCACAAGGTGAGCACAGAACCTAAAAAGGGGGTTGACCCCTGGGCATGGGTTGGGAGTACTTCTTGAGAGCAGTATGGCTCCTACCTTTCCCTTCCCCTTGTCCTAATCAGTGGTCAGGCCGTAGGCTACCATCTGGGGACTGTCCACTGACCCCCTATCCCTCTGCTCCTCCTGAGTTCCTGAAGTCCTTCTCTGCCTTGTCACGGTCTAATAATTCTGTCCCCATCAGGTCATTGCGTTGCCCCCAGCACACAGATGAACAGAGGCGAACTGTGCGGATTTATTTCCTTGGACCCTCAGCGTAAGTGACCTTAAGAGAAGGGTGGTGGCTTAGAATGGTGATCTGTTTTCCTAACAAGCTGTCTTGGCTCCTCCCCTTTCCAGTGTCCTTCCTGAAGTCGAGAGCTCTCTGGATAATGACAGCTTTGACATGACTGACAGTCAGGCCCTCATCAGCCGACTTCAGTGGGATGGCTCTTCTGATCTCTCTCCTTCTGATTCAGGCTCCTCCAAGACCAGTGAAAATCAGGGATGGGGTCTAGGTATACAATGCCAATGGGTCCCAGGGCTTTTGGCATGGGGCACCCTATATCCACAGTTCTGCTCTCATCCCTTGGGCCTCCTCCTCTGCAGGTACCAACAGCTCTGAGTCACGGAAAACCAAGAAAAAGAAATCCCATCTGAGCCTGGTAGGGACTGCCTCTGGCTTGGGCTCCAACAAGAAGAAGAAGCCAAAGCCACCGGCTCCCCCAACGCCCAGCATCTATGATGACATCAACTGACTTGGGTGCAAGGGATAGCCTTTGGCTGAGCAGAGCCCTCTCTCCCAACCCCCACCCAGGCAGCATAGCCTGGCACATGGACGGCTGCTGGGGGTTTGGGCTTGGGAAGCTTGGTGGGCCAGGCAGGCAGAGGATCCAGTTATGTGCCCCTGGGGGGTGTCAGGGTCCTCTGCAATGGAGCATGACTCCTCGGCGTGGCGTGCAGGACTCAGACCTGGACATATTATTATGCCTTGGACATAAGTTTGGTGGGGAGGTGGTTTTCCTATTTATTCTGTGAGTTGCTGGATGTCCAGCTAGGCCGGGGGCCTGACCTGGGCACTGTGCCAGGGCACTGCCTGCCCCCCCACCCCAGGAACTGGACTAAGCCCTGCCGAAGGGCATTGTGGCTACCCAGGCGGCTTTGGGTTGAAAGCTGAACCCAGAGTGGGGTCTCCCCTGGCTGCCCTCAGCAATGTGAATGGGTCCGGTGCTTGGAGCTGAGGGGCAGGGCTGGCATGTCCTGTCTGTGTGCAGAGTCCTATCAGATACCCCTAGTCCCTGGGGTCAGCAGGCACAGAGTGTTGTCTGCTGAGGTGGGCGTCCAGAACTGCTGCCGCCTTCCCTGCCCCTTACAGGGGCAGCCCTTTCCCCTCAGTCCCCATGGGCCTCCTTGGCAGCAGGAGCTGTCCTTTGTTGTTGGGTGCCAGGAAAGGGCCTCCAGCCTCTACAGCTTCAAGGAATGGGAAGGGAAGGGTAGGAAGAGGGAGCCGGGTATCAAAGTGGCTCTCCCCTGCCATCCCTCCCTGACCCAGGGCTGGTGAGGAGTGGGGCCCCAAGGTGAGAGGGAACGGTGCTGCTTTATTTGAAATGTTTTCTTACCTCATTCCCTGCCCCAGGAAGGGGCCCAGCCTCACCCTCCTGGGGTGGCCCCATGTTCTCCTACCCACCCTGTCCCACTACCCTTCCCTGCTGGGCAGCCTGAGTTCCCAGCTGCTGCTTGCCACCCCTTCACCTTGACCAGCTTCAGTTCCTCTCAGTGCTCCCACCTCCAAAGCCTGCCCTGTTTCCCCTTCCCTTGCCGCTTTTAAGTTATTTATTCTGTATTTGTGGTTTGGGGCTCTGAGGAAAAACCCTAATCTTGTGCCTCTCCCCCTTTGCAAGGAATAGGGTGGGATGAGAAGGTGACCTCTAAGCCCTGGGTGGTTGGTGGAGGTTCTAGGGGCACCACTGCCCCTCTGTGGGACTGTCATGCTAGTGTGCCCACCTGCCTGGCCTATATCCTGAAGAGATGTGCTGTCCCACCTCCATGCAGGCACCACCACCCCTGGAGCCAAGCTGGAGGGCCTCGATATGGGTTGGGAGGGCAGCTGACTGACACAGGGATTGGGTTGACCCCAAGCTGAGTTCTGGCACTTGATATGTCTGTGCTCTCCTAGGGGGAGCCACTCCCATATTGGGTAGCTAGTACCCAGGACTGGTTGGACTGATTTGGGTTAGGGACCCTAAAGGGTTAAGGGAACAACAAAGATAGGGTTGCAGTACCTGGTCTGGAACCCCAGTCACCCCCTGGGGTGGTTCTGATTGTGGCTGATGCCTGGTTACAAATTGGTTTTTAACCTAAGCATTGTGATTATTTTTTAAAAAATCAATCCAATTCTGACAGGAGTTAGAATAATCCTAAGGCCTGGGTTCCTCCGTTCTTGGCCTTCCACAGCGTTCTCCCTTGAGGGGGAAGCTACAGGGAGAGGAGGATCCCAGTGAACCTCCAGCTGCCTCCATATACAGGCTTGGGAACTGGCTGAAGGTGAGGGGAGATAGGCCAGAGCTGCTCTCCCTTCTGAGAAGTTGCAGCTCAGGCCAGTTCTCTCTTTCCCTTCTGTCTCCTTTCCCTCTGATTGGAGGGAGTAGTTTGGGAACTGGTTTGTCCACAGAAACTTACCCATTGTTCCTTGGCTCACCCTCAGGGCAGAGCCCCCTGCCCAGGCTGGGTAAGATGGGCTTGGTTCAGCAGGGACCCTGAGGGAACAAACTCCTTCCTTCTGGGGAGTGTGCCCCCCTACCGTGTAGTTGAACAGGGGCTAGGAACTCCCCAGTCCCTCCCTCTAACAGCAGGCTGTGTGGGTTTCAATTCCCATCCTCCCCACCCTGGCTAGGTGTTGTCCACCCTGTATCCTATCATGTGTCTGAGTGTGCGTGTGGGGGGGGTTCTGTACTAATTTCCATGGCCGGTGGCTTTTCCTTCCATGCATCACTCCCCCCCGCATGCCCAGGGGCCACCCGCCTGGCATTACCGCATGCTGGGGTCATTGGGGGAGGGGGGGTGGGGCTCACGCTGTCCTGTGGTCTTGAGATTTTTATTTTTGCATATGTAATCCATCCTGTACAGGTAGCTAACTTTGTAAACGCTGTGTATTCCTTCTGCCCCCATGGCTGCTGGTGTAAATAAACTGCATCTCCCGTTGGTAGCCCAGCCTACCCACTCTCATTACCATCTTGCTGGGGTAGGTAAGAGTAGTCACAAGAGGCCTCATAGCCACAAGATGGAATTTTATTCACATACACTGACCATCTAACAGTCCCAGAAGCAAGGGCTTAGGGCACCTATACCCAGAACTTCTTTGAGCTGGGCAGGACACTTGCTGAGGGCCAGTGCTCTCTTATAGCCTTAGACCTAGATTAGTAGCAGCTGTGACCTAGTCCCTCTCAATGCTGGGGGTTTGGCCTTTTGCCCCAATCCCCTTCCTGACTGAACTCTGTAAAAAGCTATTTAGAAAAAAGAGCAAGCAAAGTGCTTTGAAAGAGGGGAAACCCTATTCCTGCTACATGGGGTACAAGGAGGTGGTGGCAGGTGAATGCCTGTAGGGAAAGCTGGCACAGTCTTCATTCCTGCCCAAATACTAGTTTCAAAATTCCACACTCAACTAAGGAGTGGAAGGACACTGAGCTCCTGGCAGAAGTGTGCTGAGGCCATGCTGAGCTGTCCATACAGACAACCCTAGGGGCTAGGGAGTGGACATGCAGGACACTGGAAAGAGCTAGGGCCACAGTTGGGAGGGAATCCCCAGAGTCGAGGTGTCTCACTGAACTTAGTAGCCTTTGGCTTTAAACTTCAGGACTCCAAAAAAGGGAAAATGACATCCTTGTTTCTACCTGAGTTGTGCTTGCACAGAGGGAATGTCTACCCTGTGGATATGAAGGGAGCCATGTACCTGCCTCCTCTGTCCTATGGACAGGGTACCTATCATATCCCTCCCAGGCCCTTGGGCCCAGCTCTGGCCAGGAAAGGGGGGAGGCCATAAAGGAAGAAGACCATGCCTTTCATTTTCTTCCTGTCCTTATCGTCCATACATCCCAAATACTAGGAAGCTGAAGAAGACCGTGACTCCCACCAAGGAGACAGTGGCAGGTGCTGTGAAGAACTGGCGATAATTGATACGGAAGTACCAGACCACACCCAAGAGCACCACAAACACAGGCACCATGAGGCTGCCCACGTTGACACCGAGGCTGGATGGCTCAGTAGCTGAGGGGGGCAAAGAGGCCGAGGGGCCAGGAACAGCTGCCCCAGGAGGTGAGCGGTGGCAGTGTATCACACAGTTGTCAGTAATGTTCAGGGAACGCAGAGTGCACGCTGGGTCCTGCAGCAGCCGGCCCTGGTAAATCAGTTTCATCTGGCTCTCTTGTCCAGGGAAGTATTTGCTACAAGGATGAAGGATTGGAAGGAAAGACAGGATGAGGAAAGATGGCACATAGTCCTAGACCAAGAAAACGGCACAGGGAGAAACAGGCTTTCTAAGGAAGTTTCCCATTCCCCCTTGGTGGGGGCCAGCCCTTACTCTCCCCTACTGCTCTTAGGTCTGTACCAGCTTCCTCAGAGGAGCCAAGTCCCACAGGCACAGGCAATGAGCCAACTGCCCTCTTTCTAGCCTACTCACCTCTTTAGGGCACCCACAGTGTCCTCTGGCCTGGCCACAGCCAGCTCCTCAGTGTCATTGAGGAACTTGAGCCGCACATTGATGAGGCTGGGGCTAGGAGAGAGGCAGGTGCTATCCTCCAATCCCAGTGGAGCTTCTGGACCACTGTTCTCCAGGCCTGTTTGTCTTTTAGACAGGCCTTGAATGTCAAGGAAATGCTCAAGGCTGGGCTCCGTATCTCCCCTAGCTCCAGGTTCCCCAGTGGGGTCTCCCCCGTTGTCACTGGTCTCTTCAGCTTTCTCATCATTACCCTCTGACGGATGGGGGAGTTCAGTTGGCTCTGGAGTGCCTTGGCCTACCAGCTGGTCCACATGCCCCAGGTGGAGGACAGATGTGTCGCCTGCTGCCACAATACTGCCCAGGAGATGGTTGCTGCTGCTGTCTGCTACGTAGGTAGAGAGCCAAGCTAGGACCAAGGCTAGAATCAGCACCACCACACCTGCCACCACCATCACCTCATTACCCACACCCTCAATGAGGGAGACATCAGAGAGCTCCATGGCCGGGTGCACACTGCAGGAACAAAGAAGGACAGCATCAGCGGAGCCTGAGGGCTTACGGCCACATTTCTAGTTTATTTAACTTCTCAGCCAGTTTGGAAAAAAAATGGAGTTTGGTGTTTTATAGGAGGGGCAACCAGCCTCCCTAACTGTAGACCCCCAACTTCAAGATAAGGACTTACCTTTGGCCTCTACTGTAAAACTCTAGCTTTCAGATTCTGTGCCCACAAGGAGCACAGGTTATCGAAAGCCTCATAAGCTCGTCACTGTGGCTGCTTGTTGCTTCCTTAGGCCTGGAGCTTCTCTAGGATTTCTAACACCGGGCCAAGCACATATGGCCCATATGGCCCTGAAGCAGCCCATGGCAGCTTCAGAGCCTGAAAGACTCCTTTGCAGGCATCATGCAGCCATCCTTGCAGATCTCATTTGATTTCCATCTCATTCATGGCCACAGACCCATGCTCAAATGTCAACAACAGATTCAGATCACCCCAAATGAACAAATGTGTTGGGCCATCAGCAGGCACTATGCCTGTCTCCTGAAATTGTTCTGGCAAGTTCTGGGGAACCACACAGGGCAGGCATGAGAAACACACACCCTCTTGGGTCATCATGGGCTCACAACTATAAAACCACTACCCTAGTATAAACTCCAGTAATCCCCAGCAGTAAGAAAGCAATAAGTTCAGGGACTCAAGACTAGTCTCAGCTACATATTCAAGGCCACCATGAGACACTGTTTCAAATAACCCTGCCCAAGTAGAAATTCTTTGTAAAGATTCCCTAACAGCTGTCACAGTCTCTCTTGGTCTGCCTGGTGCTGTGAAGGTTCTCCCTCTGCAGTTTCTTAGGCAGGCAGGGAGGATATCTTGTATTCCTTGGAGTTACCTTCTCTGTCCCTTGGAGAATCTGCTGCTTTCACAGCTGTCCCTGTGCAAAGCCACCTGGTGATTATCATTATCAGACTATTCTCACAGCACCTATGAAACTTCATTATACTTATCCACCTGTCCATCTCCTCATTAGACTCCTGGAAGATAAAAATCATGTGAATTTCTCTTTGTATCAAGCTTCCAGTGCAATGCCACAGTAGCTACTCAAGAATATTTGTGGATCCTATCAACATTAGGAGAGTTTCCACATCCTTATTTAATAGACTGACCTAGGGTCAGGGAAACTACTAATCCATCATCGCCGTCTAGCCTCTTTTTAACTATGTAGCTTCGAACTTTCTCAAAGCCTCAGCTTTCTCATCAGCGAAATGGGGTTAAAAATAGTACCTACCTCATAAGGTTGTTTTGAAGATGACGTAAAATCATCGAAGCAAAATAATTAACACAGTGCCTGGCACATTGCAACTGTTCAATAAACAAATGGCAGTAATTATTTATGACTTCCACACAACTAACCCCAGACGGCAAGGTTAGTATCAGGAATCATGATTTACACAAAAGGAAACCGAGGCGAAGACAGACGAAAACCACGGGCACCGACTCAGGGACCCTCGGTGGGCAGGAGCTGAGCAGGATCCCGCCGCTCCAGCCTCCGAGGTCTCTGCTTTCTCCTCAGTCTGTGCGCGACCCTGACCGCGCGGTGAGGGGTCCCCGACCCTTTCTCTGAGGCGAAGATCCTGCTTCCGCGGCTGTGGAGTCCGCGAGCCCCCCGAGCCTCAGGGCTTCCGGGTCTCGGACGCCGTGCCCAGGCCCAGCAATCCCAGCCGGTGATGGTTAGGGTCAGGTGAGGGGGTTCACAAACCATCCACACCCCTCAAACTTCGGGGCTGGGCAGAGGAGCTGGGGGCGGGGCTTACGGACGCAGGGAGTCATGGGAAACTAGAGGGGGTTTTGACTGGCACTGTGCCTGGAGTGGGGAGAGCCTCACCTGACAAGGCCAGGATAAATGTTTTGACTTCGCCAGGACGGTCCCTGGGCTCTTCTTTCCGTAGAGGCCGGGGGAGGGGCTGGCAACTCCGGATTCTGTCCAGGATCGGGACTCTTCCGGCTTCTCTCGGAAGCTGTTAGCACCAGGGACAGGAAGTCCCGCCTCTCCGCCTTGTACTGATGACGCAAAACTACGTAGAGCGGGCTGACGTAAACGTAATCTTAAATAAAAGGGACAGGTTTCCCAGCGGCAAGAGGGGCGGAGTCATTGTTGGCGGGATCCCGGCCCTCCCACAGCTAGACCACGCCCACTTGTCTCCGGCCCCGCAGGGCGTTGGAGACCGGACCAGGGGAGCGGCTCGGAGGAGGGCCTTGTGGAAGGGGCGTAGCTTCGTGCCTGGAAGACTGCCCTGGTAGACTGCTGGCGACCCGTGGCAGGATTTCTCTTTCCCGCCTCCTTCTTCCTTCCTTTGCGCCCTACCTCCGGAACTAGTGGGATACATTTACTGCTCTGCCATGCTCATCGGGCTCCAGATTTTCCGGATCCGTAAGGTCTGATCTTTCTGACCTCTACGACAGGTCTGTGTTACTCCGGGAGACCGACAAGGAACCAAGTTACAATCTTCAGTACTGGAAGACTGCGACCCCAGATAGTGTGGAGCTTTTATAAAGAAAGCAGGACGTCATTTCAAAGTTTCAAAGTGACACAGATACCGCGCTCTTAAAAAAATAAAAAAGGTCTGGAGAGATGGCCTCAGCAATTAAGAGCACTGCCTACTCCTGCAGAGGGACCCGGATTCGAGTCTCAGCACCTACATGGTTCCAGTTCCAGCGGATCCGACGCCTTCTTCTGACCTCCGCAGGCATCGCACGACATGGTTGCACTTATATACATGCTGGCAATACACTCATACACATAAAATTAATAATTTTTTTGGGTCTTTTTGAGACAGGGTCTCCCCGTAGCCCCAGCTGTCCTGGAACTCACTATGTAGACCAGGCTGGCCTTGAACTCACAGAGATCCGCCTGCCTCTGCCTCCCGAGTGCTGGGATTAAACCACGTCCGGCATAATTAATAATTTTTAAAAAAAAAGAAAAAGAAAAAGGTGTATAGGGCTAGAGCGATGGCTCAGCGGATAAGCACACAAGAGGACCTGGGTTCACTTCCCAGCACCCATACGGGAGGCTCACAACTGTCTTTAACTCCAATTCCAGGGGATCCATCGCCCTCCTCTGCCCCGAGAGCATACATACAGGCATAACATGCATACACAAAAAAACTTTGAAATCTTTTTTTTCTTTTTTTTTTTGGTCTTTTTGAGACAGGGTCTCCCTGTAGCCCCAGTTGTCCTGGATTCACCATGGAGACCAGGCTGGCCTGGAACTCACAGAGAGCCGCCTGCCTCTGCCTCCCCGAGTGCCAGGAATAAAGGCGTGCGCCACCACGCCCGGCCTTAAATCTTTTTAAAAAGACTTACTAGTTTTATTTTATGTGTCTGCCTGTATGCCACATGTGTGTCGGTTCTGCAGAGTCCAGAAGACGGCATCAAATCCCCTGGAGCTGGAATTAACAGGCTCTTGTGAGCCACCTAATGTGGGTACTGGGCGGTTGAACTCTCAGAAGTCCTTTGGAAGAGCAGTAAGCATTTTTAACTGCTGAGCCATTTCTCCAGCAGTTCTGAACACACTTTTCCTCCCACTGTGTTTTCTTGGATAATACCATGGTGATTGAATCTAAGAGTCTTTCAATGCTAGGTAAACAGACTTTCACTGAGTTTTTCCCATTCTTTAAAAAATTTTATATTGAGACAGCGTTTTGCCAATTTTCCCCAACTGGCCTCAAATTTGCCATCCTTCTGCGTCAGCTTCCTCAGCATCTGGGATTACAGGCATGCACTGCTATGTCTAGCAATGAGTAGAAAAAAAGCAAAAATCAGGAGAGACAAAAACCAATACGGGGCTGGAGAAATGGCTTAGCAGTAAGAACAGTGATCTAGAGGACCCTAAATTTGTTTCCCAGCATCCACTTTAGGCAGCTCACAGCTCCACCTGTATCTCCAGTTCCAAGGGATCCGACCTGATCTTCTGATCTCTAAGGGCACTTACACACATGACACATACACATATGTGTACACATACACACACACAGATACACATAAGAAAAAAATTTTTCCAGGAATTTATCCAGATTAAAAAAAATAATAATGTGTATAGGTGTTTTGCCTGCATGTAAGTGTACTACATGCATGCAATGCCCAGGAGGCCAGAAGAGGGCATCAGAGCCCCTAAAACTGGAGTTATGGCTGGTTGTTAGTTGCCATGTGGGTGCTGGGAACCAAACCAGGTCCTCTGCAGGAGCAGCCAGTGCTCTTAAAGATTGAAACATTGGGTTTTCTCTCCAGCCCCTTAGCTGGATTTTTTTTTGTGGGGGAGTCTTTTTGACACAGGGTCTCCCTGTAGTCCCAGCTGGCCTGGAACTCACTATGTAGACTAGGCTGGCCTTGATCTCACAGAGTCCCTCTCCCTCTGCCTCCTGAGTGCTGGGATCAAAGGTGTACCACCATGCCCAGCTCTTATCCAGATTTTTAAAAAATATTTTGTTTATTATTTTTATTTTATATGTATAAGTGTTATGCCTGCATGTAGGTAAGTGCACTCGTGTTGTGTAATGCCCATGAAGGACAGAAGAGGCTGTCAGATCCCCTGGAACTGGAGTTACAGGCAGTTGTTAGCTGCTATGTGGGTGCTGGGACTTGAACCTAGGTCTTCTGCAAGAACAGTGTTCTTAACCCCTGAGCCATCTCTCCAGCCCCAGATTTTTTTAAGTTTTATTATTTTGTGTGTGAGTGTGGGCTTGTATCAAGGCTCTCAGGTGGAGTCAGAATATAACTTTTGAAAGTTCTCTTCTTCCACTGTGGGATCCAGGGATTGAACTCAAGTCTTCAGGTTTTCAGAGCAAGCATTTTTACCTGTTGTCTTACCTTGCAGGACCACTTATCCAATTTTCAATTAAAATTATTTTTCAGGGTTTCATATCAAGAATAGAAAATTATGGGCCATCAATGTGGCTCAGCAAGTAAAGGCACCTGTTGCCAAATCTGACAACCTGAGCTCATTCCCGAGGGCCCTTGTGATGGAAGGAGAGAACTGATTCTGCAAGTTGTCTTCTGACCTCCACAGGTGTGGTGGCACTCCCCTGTGCGTGCATGTGCACGCGCACACACACACACACACACACACAAATGTTAAAAAAAAGCTACTTTAGGGCCTCCCCTTCATACTCTCTTAGCTACTAACCCCCAAGTCTATCACCGTAGTTTTTCCTATTTGTGTCTGTTGTTTTTTGTTTGGCTTATTGTATTGGAATGAATTAACTCAGGCAGACTTTTTTTCCAAGACAAGTCTCATGTAGCCTGGCTGGACTTAAACTCCTGACCCTCCCAAATGTTGGGATTACAGGCATGAATCACCATGTTCTGCTTACCTTTTCTGTTTCTTATTTTGAGGCAGGATCTTATGCCCAGACTGCCCTTGAACTCACTCTGTACCTCAGGAAAGCCTTAAATTGTCAATGTGTCTGGGGTAGCTAAAATTACAAGACTGTGCCAAGTAGCCTGGCTAGAAATGACATCTTTGTGTGCATAAATATATTCATGTTCATTGTGTGTGCACATGTGTCTGTAGGTGCACATGCATGGAGACCAGAAGTCAACGTCAGGTGTTTTCCTCAATCACCCCACTTTATTTTCTGAAACAAGGCCTCACTGAACGTGGAGGTGAATAGGCTAGACAGGCTGACCAGGGAGCCCCAGGAAGCCTCCGCCTCTCCAGTGCTGGGATTACAGACACATGTAGCTGTCTGTGCTTGACCTTAAAAAAAAATATGGGTACTGAGGATCAAACACAGGTCTTCATATGTGCACAACAAAGCACTTTACCATCTGAACCATCTCCTTAGCCCCTAGAAATGACATCTTTAACTGCAAATAATTTTTCCAGTATTTTGCCTTTTAAATTCTGTTTGTAATTTGGTTTTTTAAAAATATTTTTTATTTATTATGTGTATGTGTGTATTGCCTGCAAGTAAGTAAATGCACCCATGTTGTGCAGTGCCTGTGGAGGACAGAAGAGGCTGTCGGATCCCCTGGAACTGGAGTTATGGACAGTTGTTAGCTGCCATGTAGGTGCTGGGATTCGAACCCGAGTCTTCTGCAAGAACAGTTAGTGTTCTTAGCTGCTGAGCCATCTCTCCAGCCCTGTAATTTGATTTTTATAAAAACAAACCTAGGGCTGGTAAGATGACACAGTGAGTAAAGGCTCTTGCTGTCAAGCCTAATGGCCTGAGTTCAATTCCCAGAACCCACATAGTGAATGGAGAGAACCAACTCTGACTTCTACATCCATGCACATACATGCACATATATACACACTAAATGTAAACAAAACACCTAAACTCTGTACCCTGGGTCTTTTTGTTTTGTTTTGTTTTGTTTTGAGACAGGGTCTCACTATATAGCCCTAGCTGGCCTGGAACTAAGTAGACCATGCTGGCCTCAAACTCACAGAGATTTACCTGCCTCTGCCTCCTGAGTGTTGGGATCAAAACCGGATACTTACCATGCCTGGCCTTAATCACTTCTCTTTAAAACTTTTTAGGTGTATGAATATTTTGCCTGCATGCATGTAAGTGTGCCATGTGCATATAGTGTCCATAGAGGGCGGAAGAGGATGTCAGATCCCTTGGAACTGGAGTTATGGAAGGTATTAGCCACCATGTGGGTGCTGGAAACTGAACCCAGGTCCTTTGTAAGAGCAGCAGGTGCTCTTAACCACTGAGTTATTTCTCCAGCCCCTTAATCATTTCTTTTTTTAGAAAAATATTTTATGTATATGAGTGTTTTGCCTGCATGTATATAAGTGTACCACATGCATGCAATGCCCCACAGAGGCCAGAAAAGGATGTTGGATCTCCTTGAACTAGAGTTATGGACAGTTGCTAGCTGCCATGTGGGTGCTGGAAATTGAACCTGGGTCCTCTGGAAAAACAGCAAGTGTTCTTAACCACTGAGCCATCTCTCCAACCCCCTTAATTGTTTCTTTTATACTCTTTACTGGAAAATCTTTGCCTCTCACAAAATAATACATATAATCCAGAATGTCTTCATAAAAAAAGTAAACATATTTTGTGACTGTAAAAGAGCTGGCTGGGGTCTGCCTGCTGTAATAGAGCATAAACTTCAATATCATTCCCTGGAATGAGGCTCCCAGTTCAGACCAAGGACCAAAGATGGCTTTCTTTTCTTCTCTGAGGCCTTTGGCTCTGTGGAACTAAAGCAAAACTTCCATCTAGAAACAGGTGGTTACTGCTCTGCTGAACCAGGTCAAAGGCTGTGCTAGTGAAAGGAAATCTGCCCAGACAGAATTCCCTAGAGAAGGGAGGATGAGCAGAGGCCCCAGGAGGCTGGACCCAGGCTCCTGATGTCTGCTGGGTGATACCAATTGATGATAGGAGAGCCCCAAGTCCCCAGTAAAAGGCCAAGTAAGCAGGCTGCTGGGTACCCTTCGACTCCCTCCTGTGATGACTGGCAAAGGCTCTGGTCTCTGGCAGGCCTGGTGTTCTAGAACCTTTTCATGTCACCAGTAACACCTGTTCAAGGCAGAAAGCCTGGAAACCACAGCAGAGCACAAAGGGGGAGAATAAACATGGCATGATGGGAACTTCAGTCATATTCAAATCTAACAACATCCACACATCTGTTCTGTCTAAAAGTTATTTATTTGCATTCATAAAACAGGCTTGTCTTGAAAAGCTTCCCCTAAAGGTAAATGGTTATACTTTGTGTCTTTAGGACCAGAAGAAGTGTGTATGGAGGTAGAGAGTAGCTGCTAACCTTCTGTCCTGGGCCCCACAAACCACACCATGGTGACTGCTATTAAAGGCACCATACAACACTTGGGAGTAGGGTGAACACATCATAAATGTCCCCGGCCTCTTCAAGGAATGTGCTCCCGGTCTCTGCCTCATGGAGGCAGAGGAACGCACTTAATTGAATATGCACCATGGCAAAGGCAGGCTACACTTTGTGACCACAGTGGTCACTTTGCAAACACAGTGCTGTCCAGGCTAAAAAGGGGGGAAGTGTACCAAGTAGCATGCACCACTACTGAAAACAGTTAATAGCTAAGAACAGGTCAGGTTGGCACATAGTAACTAGTTTACTAAGGCTGCATTATAGGACCTGCATAGGGAGAAGGGGTCAGGAGGTCGGAGACCATAACAGAGTTTTTTGTTTTTGTTTTCTGTTTTTTTTTTTGAGACAGGTCTCCCTCTAACTCCAGCTGTCCTGGAACTCACTATGTAGACCAGGCTGGCCTTGAACGCACAGAGATCTGCCCGCCTCTGCCTTCTGAGTACTAGGACTAAAGGCGTGCATCCCCACGACTGGCTGAATTCGAAATCTTATTGCCTTAGCCTCCCAAGTACTTAGAGGCATATGCCATCAAGCCCAGTTAAGGGTCTGTGGGTGGCCCTGGAAAAATGCAATTGGGTTCAGTTACTTGTAGCTTGGGTGGATAGAGAAGTCATTTGCTTAAACACAAGAGCAGGAGGTGAGCGAAGGCTGACCCTGGGGAAATCAGTGGAGAAATAAACTGGTCCTGGAGGGCATGCAAAGTGCAGAGAAGAGGGTCAGTGGTCGGTTTCCCCCGCTGGGCTTAGGAACAGATGGAAGCAGCAGTGGCCAGCACAGAGCTCAATAGAGCTCACTGGATGTGACCTTCCACACACAACAGTAGGTAGTCCCTGAGCCTTGGGGGCAGTGGGAGCTGGTGGCAGCCTGTCAGCAGCGGCTACCCAACTGAGCTCGCACAGCCAGGCAGGCCAGGTGCTGCAGACGCCTTGGCTGGTTCTCCATGCTCAGGGTTGAGCTGTGTAGAAGGCTTCATGCTCCTAGGCCAGATGAAAATTCGTATCAGATGATCCAGAGTCAAAGATGCTTGACTCTGCCCTTCCCGGGGGCAATCTAGTTGTGGGGTCCAGGGATGTTTTTCAACATGCAGCACCCATGCAGCCATGGTATTGGGGACTGAATTTCAGGCATATTTGTAGTCACTGCAATCCTAGACACGCAGGTATGGTGTCACCAAGTCAGAGCTGCTCCATACAAGATGGCTGCCAGCAAAGGGGTTGGGCAGGTATTCTGCTTGGAGCAGGGGCCTGGAACTACCCACCCTCTTCTGTCCAGGGTCCTGTTCTCTGTGAAACTGGTCCTGGAGGTTAAGGACTTCCTCTCTAGCCCCTTAGGAAAGAGCTCTGCCCCTGGAATGGTCATACCTGCCACAGCTCAGGGAGCACTGCCTCCACCCAGGTATCACAGGATGGGACATATGGATAGGCATTAAGCAGGACTTCCAGGGCCCGAGGAAAGTTGGCACAGTGTTTCAGCATCTGGAAATTAAAGAATCTTAGGAGCACCAAGTTGCTGCCAACTAAGGCAGGCCCAAGGCTAGCTAATCCAAATAGCCACACACACACATCATTTTAATTCCTCAACTTGCCCCTTCCACACGTCCTCCGGGTTCCAGGAAGCTCTCAGCTTTACCGTCTCCGTGACACCCCCTCCCCACTGCCGTCATTGAAGGAGGCTTTTGGTCTCCTAGATTCTTCGCCTCCAACCAGGGCAGTTCATCCTCAGGATCCCTGCCTCCCCACCCCCCAGCTAGTTGGCACCTCCTTCTTCAGGCCCTACCAGCGCACCTCGGGGTGTACTGGCCAAGCCCAGCAGTCCAGCAGCGCTGCGAAGAGGACCTCGGGCTCCCAGTTGGGGGCATCCTGCACCGCTTGCAGCGCGCGGTCCATGTGTGTGTGGCCTGCCCCGTTGGCGACTCCAGCACAGGCCCCGTGGCGCAGCAGTAGCTCAGCCAGGACCCCGCAGTCGTTGGCACAGGCGTTGTGCAGTGGCGTGTGGCGTTTGCCCCCAGCTGCCTGGGATCAGCTCCGGCCTCCGGGAGCCGTCGCGCTGCCACCTCATGCTGCCGGCAGCTGCCCGGCCCTTCGGCTCCTGCGCTGTCTCGCCCTGGCTAGTGCTAAGGCCCACGTCTGCTCCGTGCTCCAGGTAGAGAGCCACGTGGCGCCCGAGGCCGCGCGCTGCCGCCAAGGCAGAGGTGTCACCTCGATCTCCTGCGATGCCACATTCACGGTCGCTCCCGCCTCCAGCAGCAACTTGGCGCACCTGAACACAGGAGTGCAAGGTCCAGAGGCAAATCCTGAGGGTCTGAGGCCTAATCACCACCCCATCCCTCCCACCCTTCTGCCTGGAGGTCCAACCTAGTGTTCTCCATCAATCACAGACACCAGAGCTAGAGCGCCAGCATCTTCTGTTTTCAGTTGAAAAAGTTCAGGCCAGAATGATCTAGTGCAACAGCCAAGCATACACACACAGCACATTAAAGATATAATTAATGGCAGAATCTGGAGTGTGCATCCTGATCTGAGATATTTCCTTCTTTATTTTGTGCCAACTTCGGTAAGCTAGGCAAGCTGGACAAACTGAGCCTCCAGCGACTGACAGCACTGGAATAGGATCTCATGTAGCTGATTTCAAACTATGTAACTGAGGATGACCTTGAACTCCTGATCCTTTTTGCATCTTCCTCCCCAGTGCTGGAATTATAGGCTTACACCAGTTTGTGTGATGCCAGGGAACAAACCCAGAGCTTCATGCATGCTAATAGGCAAACAGCCCCAGCTCCTAGTCTCACAACATTCTGATAGTGCAAGATTTTGAAAACTTCTCTGTGATACATGGAGTATTAAAGTGTATTAAGAAAAAAGAGACAGGGCTGGAGAGTTGGCTCAGTGGTTAAGAGCACCGACTGCTCTTGCAGAGGACCCAGGTTCGATTTCCAGCACCCACATGGTAGCTACGAACCATCCTCAACTCCAGTTCCAGGGGGATCTGAAGCCCTCTTCTGACCTCGGCAGCATTGCACGACATGGGTACGCTCACATACATGCAGGCAATACACTCATACACATAAAAAAATAAACAAAAATACTAAATAAAATATTTAAAAAAAGAAAAAAGAGACAATGCCCAGTGTGATGGCGTTTAGTCCCAGCACTTGAGAGACAGAAGCAGGCAGATCTCTGTGAGTTCAAGGCCAACTTGGTCTACATAGTGAGTTCCAGGCCAGTTGGAGCTACAGGGAGACCCTGTCTCAAAAAAAAAAAAAAAAGAAAAAAAAAAGAAAAAAAGAAAGAAAGAAAGAGAGAGAAGTCCTAATATTTTCTTCCTACCCCAAACTTGAAGACCATCTTCCTGACCAGGCCATGTTCCAGCAGGCAAGGAAAGCATTTGAGGACTTTCCCTTCGAGAAAACAAGCAAAACCAAAACAGAAAACATTTTAGAAAGCACAGGCTTCAGAGACTCTGAGTTCCTGGAAAAATGATTGGCCAGAACACTGTTACAGCAAATATGCATCATTATCTACTGTGGGTGACCACACATGAGCTGAGCTCAATTACTGATGACACTAAGTGGATGGTAATTTTTTTAAAGACGTGCCACCATACCCAGCATCCAAATCTTAAGGTTTTAAAAAAAACTTTATTTACTATTATTTTATGTGTATGACTGTATTGTCTGCATGTGTGTAAGTGCACCTGTGTTGTGCAGTGCTTGAGAAAGTCAGAAGAAGGTGTCAGATTCCCCTGGAACTGGAGTTACAGACAGCCACAGTGTGGGTGCTGGAAATTGAACCAGGATCTTCTGCAAGAACAGTCAATACTTTTTTTGGTCCTTTTGAGACAGGGTCTTCCTGTAGCCCCAGCTGGCCTGGATCTCACTATGTAGACCAGGTTGGCCTTGAACTCACAGAGATCCACCTGCCTCTGCCTCCCAAGTGCTGGGATTAAAGGCATGCAGCACCACGCCCGGCCTGGACAATAATTTTTAATGGAAAAAGACAGCAGCAGCTGTTGGAAAGTCAGGGGCAGATTCAGCAACCTCAGTGAAACCCTGATAAGTGGGGATCCTTTCCCCAAAGAGAACGGCAGCTCATGGATCCAATAGGTGCTCAGTGGTCAAGAATTGAGTAACAGTGTCTTAGAAAAATTACTGCATTCGTTATTTTTTGGTTGAATTTTCTCTGCAGGAAATTCTAATTATGACTTATTTTATTTCTTTTTAAAATTTTTAAATTTTTTAGTCTTTTTGAGATGGTCTCCCTGTAGCCCCAGTTGGCCTGGATTTGCGATGGAGACCAGGGTGACTCGAACTCACAGAGATCCACCTGCCTCTGGGATTAAAGGTATGCGCCACTACGCCCAGCTTATTTTTGAATTTTTTAAGACAAGCATCTTGCTCTGTAGACCTGCCTGGCTTTAGAATTTCTATTTAGACCTGATAGACCTCCAACTTTTAGTGATCCTCCTGCCTCTGTCTCACTAGTGCTCAGATTTCAGGTGTATGCCACCACACCTGGCTCCTCACCTGTTTATATTTGTGTGTCTGTGTGTGTCTGAGTATGTGTGAAAGATCTCACTATGTAGAAACTAGCTGGCTTAGAAATCTCTATATAGACCAGATTTGCCTCAAACTCACAGAGATCCACCTGACTCTGCCTCCCAAGTGTTAGGATTAAAGGTGTACACCACCACATCTGGCCCCTAGATGTTTCTTAATGTCCATCTCAAAGCAAGTAGGAATTTGGCTATAGAGGATTCACAGGGAATCAGAAAATGCAGTCAGAATAGGATTTTCCTGGGGCTGAGGGTCTAGCTCAATGGTAGAGTTGCTTGCATAACATGAAGGCCCGGTGTTCAATTCACAGGGTTTCCAAAGAGCAACAGGGGTTCTGACTCTTGAGACTAGCACATGTGACCTTGGATAAGACCCTAACATTGTTTTTTAAGATCAAGAACAATTTTATTAGAGCTGGAGAGAAAAACAATGGAGCGGGCAAGCTGTAAATCTTGGCAGCTGCCAGGAAAAGAGAGATGGAGAGTGCAGCGTTTGAGTTAGGACGGTATGTTCAGCAATGGAGGTCAGCAAGCAGCTGAATGACAGACAAGCAGCTGCAGAGTGGAAAGGTGGATGAGCTTCAGGAAAGGAGTGAGAAGGCCCGGGACCCATGCGGGGTTTTGACCAGCATCCAAAAGAAAAATAAAGGTAGAAAAGAAGGAAAGGGAAAAGTTATGCTTTTCTGAGTAACTCAGGGCAGGCTCTGCAATGCTACGAGATGAAAGTTCTACAAGCGTCTGCCACACTAACCCTTTCTGAGCCTCCTTTCTCTCATGCTTAGAATAAGGCTTCTTGGGGCTAGAGAGATGGCTCAGAGCACTTGAGATGGTTAAGAGCACTTGCTGCTCTTCCAGAGGGCCCAAGTTGGTTCCCAGAACCCATGTCAGGCAACTCACAACTGCCTGGAACTCCAGTTCCAGGGGATCTGAAACCCTCTTTAGCCCCCACAGAGGCAACTGCATGTGCATACACACACATATACACAGAAATAAAACATTGAAAAATAGGGCCTCTCTCTACATATGAAGACATGTATATATGAGGTGCTTAAGGCTCCACAATGGGGGCATAGATATCAAGTCCTCCCTTCTAGGTCAGTGAGCTAGACTCATACACACTTCCTCCCCAAACCATCCCAGGCCTTGGGCACCTACTGCAAAGACTCGGGAGCTGTGCAGAGGTGCAACGGGGTCATGCCCTCCTCAGACAGCACATTAGCCTTGGCACCAAATGTGAGTAGCAATAGCACACAGTCAGGATGGGCTTGAGCATAGGCCTCATGCAAGGCAGCACAGCCTCCAATTTGGGCATCCAGCTCAGCCCCCTGCAGAATCAGGTGGCGGGCGCAGTCTGTATAGCCTCTGGCTGCAGCAATGGTAAGGGGTGCTGTCTGCTTGGTCTTGGGGGTTAGCACCCAGAAGCCTGAGGAAAACAGACAGTGCTGTGGGACTTCGTATGAACCTGGCTGGTGGGCAGAGCAGGATGGGATGCTGTCTATGTCTGACAGTAAATGCTGACCTTCCCTGGATACAACTTGCTGAGCACAAATTCTCAGGCTGTACCCATGGTTCGGGGCTTATTCAAGGTCTGAATTGGGAGTATAAATTAGAAAAGTCTTTTAGAACAGTTTGTCTACAACAAAAAAGTATGCTTCTAGCTGGGCATGGTGGTGCACACCTTTAATCCCAGCACTCAGGAGGCAGAGGCAGGCAGATCTCTGTGAGTTCAAGGCCAGCCTGGTCTATATAGTGAGTTCTAGGCCAGCTGGAGCTACAGGGAGACCCAGTCTCAAAAAGACAAAAAACCAAACAAGCAAACAAAACTAAACAAATAAACAAAGAAAAAAAACCAGCATTATTCTAGGCTTAAGAAAATGGTAGAAGGGGCTGGAAAGATCACTCAGCAGTTAAGAGCACTGGCTGTTCTTGCAGAAGACCCAGGTTTGTATCTCAGTACCCACATGGTGGCTAAAAACCATCCATAATGCCAGTTTCAGGGGATTCGACGCCCTCTTCTGTCCTCTGAGGACATTGCATGACACGGGTGCACTTGTATACATGTATGCAATATACACATATGCATAAAAGCAGGGGCTGGAGAGATGGCTCAGCCATTAAGAGCACTGACTGCTCTTGCAGAGGACCTGGGTTCGATTCCCAGCACCCACATGGTGGTTACGAATCTTCCTTAACTCCAGTTCCAGGGAATCCGATGCCCTCTTCTGACCTGCTTGGCATTGCACAACATGGGTGCACTCACATACATGCAGACAATACACTCATACACATAAAATAAAAATAATAAATAAGCTGGGTGTTTGCTTCAGCTGTCTGCTGTCATGCCTCCCCACCATGATGAACTCTCATTCCTCTGGAATCATAAGCCAAATAAATTCTTTCTTCTTTAAAAATAAATAAATAAATTCTTCCATAAGTCACTTTTGGTCACGGAGTTTGATCACAACACAAAAAGTAACTAATTTAAGGACCAAGTATGGTGGAGCACACCTTTAATCCCAGCACTCAGGAGGCAAAGGCAGGTAGATCTCTGTGAGATTGTGAGATCAAGGCCAACCTACATAGTGAATTCCAGGTCAGCTATGGCTACCAAAAGACCCTGTCTCAAAAAGACCAAAAAAAAAAAAAAAAAGGTAAATCAAAACAAAACAAAAAAATAATGGCAGAATAACCTTCATAGTATGTGTCATTGGGAAAAAAAATTGATCTACAAAATCACAAAGGCCAATTAAAGAGAGCAAAGCCTGACAGGAAACCTCAGGGTCTTTGAGTGGCCACTGAACTCAGTGTCTCTTTTTGTTTACATCTGGCCTTGAGCATGAAGACCATAGTTATGCACCAGTGTGTGTGGAGCTGAGTTTGGAAGTAGCCAAGAGCATCAGCACTGACTTTCAGGATATTCCTGGGTGAGGGGGTTGCATAGAAGTAGAAGGAAGAGTGGAGGAGTCGGTTCATCACATGACTGGTGTTGGATTTGAATGTAGTCAAGGACTTGTTTAAAAGGCACAGATGTCTTGTATGAAACTATATTGTTTGTATGACAGTTCACTGTTTCTCTGAATATTGGATAAAGCATGTTTTAGCTTTTATTAAGATTGAAACTCAGTCCAAGTTCTATTTTCCCGGATGATAGGTGAAAACCAGAATGGCCTGAGTAGAGTCTCTGTGTTGCTGTTGCAGGTAAGCAGAACTTGGAGCCTATAGTGACTGCTGAGTCAAGAAGCTCTTCCATAGGACTTTGAAGCCCCAGAGTCAAGGGCTGAGGTTGAAGTAATCTCTTGTCAATTTTCATGGCAATCTCAGCTGAAGTATTTGGTTGACATGGACAAACTTGCTAAGTCAGATACATTCTAGAAAAGTTATCTGTCAAGCACATAAAAATGTTTATTATACTACTACTACTAAAAATGGGAGGGGGCAGTGGCTGGAGAGATGGTTAGACACTAAGAGCACTTACTACTCTTGTAGAGGACCAGAGTTGGTTCCCAGTCCCAGTTGTGACTCACAACTCCCTGTAACTCCAGTCCCATAGGATCTGAAGCCCTCTTCTGGCCTCTGCAGGCTCTTGCATGCACGTGGTGTACATATATTCACACAGGCTCACACCGCACACATAAATTAAAAAAGAAATCTTAGGTTAGGCAAGGTGGTGCATGCCTTTAATCCCAGCACTCGGGAGGCAGAGGCAGGTTGATCACTGTGAGTTCAAGGCCAGCCTGGTCTACATAGCAAGTTCCAGGTCAGCTGGGGCTACAGGGAGACCCTGTCTCAAAAAACAAAAACAAAAACAAAAAAAAAGAATGAGGGCTGGAGAAATGGCTCAGCAGTTAAAAGCACTGGCTGCGCCTGCAGAGGACTTGGATTCAGCTCCCAGCACCCACATGGCCACTAACAACCCTCTGTAACTCCAGTTCCAGGGGATACAATGCCCTCTTCTGGCCTCCAAGGCATTGCGTGTATGTGGTGCACTTCCATACATGGAGGCAAAACACTCACGCACATGAAAAGGAGAGGGGGGAGGGGGAAGAGGAGGAGGAGAAGTATAGTAGTGCAGGATGGGTGTTGATTGGCAGATCAGTTGAGAGAGAGAAAAAAGCAGGGAGCATGTACCAGAGCACTATGGGCCCAGGTGATCTTCCACGCCATCCTCTGCTGAATAGGGAGGGATTAAAGATTTGGGGCCTTGGACATGGTAGGTTCTACACTGAACTATACCATAGCCCTGAAGAGATTTTAAAGTAGAAAAATAGGATGCTATTTGCATGCTAGAAAGTAAGACCAGAGCAGAGGTTCTCAAACAGTAAACTTTTTTTTTTTTTTTTTTGGTTTTTTTTTGAA